CCCCCCCTCTGAGTCACTCCCGAAGCGACCGCCCGGGGCTGAGCCGTGCCCGCCCCGGGACACAGTGATGCCTGGAACTGGGCGGGGAAGGGGGGGGAGAGGGGTTTTTCTCCTTTCGCTGAGAATCTATGTAGGACTTCAGTTTGGAGTCTGGTGCAGCCCCTCCAAGGGGAGACAAAAGCCGGGAGGAGCAGGCCCCTTCCCTTCCCCCCCACCCCGGTGATGCCACCCCAGTGTCCCCGCTCAGCCCCCAGACCCTCTGCCCCACCACCATCTCCAGCACCTTCCATTCTCCTGGACATGAGCCGCCTTGCGGTTCCTCCAGCTGTCCCCTGCCACCTTCTTCTCGGCAGGACATCAGCAGTGGCCGGCTGTCCCACCAGCCGTCACCCCACCTCCCGCCTGCTTGTGCTGAGAAGAATAGTCCAAAGCACAGCTATTTTTTTTTTTTTCCCCTGTCTTTTCCAGTCATATGATGGGCTGGTGGTGGACACGGCCGTCTTGGCTGGAGGGATGTTGTTGTGTGTCACCAACGAGTGCTGAGCGTGTTTATGGGCCAGGCTGCAGTGGGAGCCCGTGGGTGCCCGGATGGGTGTGCAAGGGCTGGTCACACCGTGCCCGTGGTGCTGCACCCAGGGGCACGTTTCATGGGTAGACCCTCAGCGAGGCAGCAGGCACCAGGCACACTAGCTGATGGGGAGTTGTTTTTCCTAAAGGAGATGCCGCAGTCGATCTGTGCAGCAGTCCCTGATGGTATAGATAGATATATAGCTGTATAGATAGATATACCTGACCTAAATAGAAACAAAAAGAGAGAGAACACAAAGTTCCTAAGTTCTGACCAGTGATCTTTTATAAGCAAGTCTCAGAGTACACAGGCGACGTGCAGTTTAGGGCTGTATGGACAGTTTAGGACGTATGGACTCCTGGGCTGCACAGGGAAGAGTGTGGCCAGGAGGTGGAGGGAGGTCCTTCTCCCCCTCTGCTCTGCACTGGGGAGGCCACAACTGGAATCCTGCGTCCAGTGCTGGGCTCCCCAGTTCAAGAGACACAGGGAACTGCTGGAGAGAGTCCAGCGAAGGGCAACAGAGATGATGGAGGGATTGGAGCATCTCCCTGATGAGGAAAGGCTGAGAGAGCTGGGACTCTTGAGCCTGGAGAAGAGAAGGCTGAGGGGAGACCTTATCAATGCTGACAAGGATCTAAAGGGTGGGTTGAAGGAGGATGGAGCCGGACTCTTTTCAGTGGTTCCCAGTGACAGGACGAGGGGCAACGGGCACAAGCTGGACCATGGGAAGTTCCATTCAAATATGAGGCAGAACTTGTTTGGGGTGAGGGTGGCAGAGCCCTGGGACAGGCTGCCCAGGGAGGGTGTGGAGTCCCCTTCTCTGGAGATCTTCAAGCCCCGCCTGGATGCTCCTGAGTGATGTGCTCTGGGCAGCCCTGCTTTGGCAGGGGGTTGGACTGGATGGACTCTAGAGGTCCCTTCCAACTCTGACAATTCCATGATTCCGTGATCAGGGGAGACAAGACATTGTGCTCTCTTGATAAACTGACTTTCCTCAAACTAGGAAGCCACCTCGCTAGGGGTAAAATTCTGTCCTCTGACCCCTGTGAATACCTTTGTTAGTGTCGTGATAACAAAAAAATGACCTATGTGCAGTCAGTTATGCAAGCTGTTTTACAGACGTGAAGAATGGTAGGTTTGAGAACATGGTCTGTGGTGGCAACCCAAATCTAATGGCATTTCTGTGTAGGGAAGTGGGGAATTGTGATGCAAAAATACTTGAAGTCTTTTTTTTTTTAATGTTTAGATTCAGTTTCTCCTATTAAAGCTATTTATATTTTTTACAGCCAGGCGAGATCATCATGATTGATTGACCTGTCACGTAGGGTGCCGAGTGCTGAGAGATTCCCGCAGAAGGTTTGTGACTTTTCTTGTAGCTATAACACGTATTGAACTAAAAAAAAGAAAATATGATTCTCTTGTGTTCCAAAGCACAATGAAAGTTTCACATTAACCTAAGATAATACACGCTCTTGATACACAGTTCATAAGCAGCGTGTGGCATTCTTGTGAAGATTTTGGTGCCATGGACTTCTAGAACGTATCGGAGGGAGGAAAATTCTTGGATTTGGGTCAAAAAAACAGCTGCATGTTAGTGGGTTCTACACTGGGTTCTACATGGACGGTCTCTCCAAGTTGGTAGTGCCAAGGGTGGGCAGGGAAGTTCAAGTGCACTCAGGCCCACGTGGGAGTCTTTTTTGCTATGTCAGTTTAAGAGCAATATTTCCTTCTGGCAGTTTTACAGCAGAGTTTAAGGTGACAGTTTCTCATTTGTCTTCAAGATAAAATATGTTTATGGGCTGTCTGATGTCAGCTGAGACTGATAAGACTTCCAACGTTCACTTTCAAAGTTCATCTGGAACACAGGTAGTGTTTATTGACTCCTCAATCCCTTTTGGAAGGATTTCAATTCCTTAGATTCCCAGCAACCAAAGACACAGAATAGGTGAGATTTTTAACCTTTTATTTGAGAAATAAGTAGATGCAGCTTTAATTTTTATGGAAGGAGTGGAGGAATGGGACTTGAATGCGTCATCAAGGGCTTAGAAGTAGCAAGCAATAGGTAGGAAAACTGTATCCTTTCTGGAACTCATTTTCAGTGAGTTCAGTTTTCGTACGTGACTTTTCTAGGTGCCTGTAGTATTTGTGGGGTTTTTTTCTCCAATAATGTATGGCCTTTTGTACTCCTTGTTTCTGCTGGGGAGAATTCAAGCATAAATATACACTGACTGTGTTCTGGGTTCCAGGGCTTATTCATTAGGGCATAACAACCCGTTCTTACCGCTCGAGATGGGGCTCAGTGCAACTCGGGGGATGGAAGACTGTGCTGAGGGTTTTAGCAAGAACCCGCTTATACTAGAGCTGGCTGGGGATGGGCTGTGATGATGGCTACTTAACTGCCATGTTTTGTAGCCCCAGGGTTAAAAACGTGGGGTATACTTATGTTTTTAATAACAACAACAGGAATGGGAAAATAAAAAACAAAGAAAAAGGACTGAGTATGAAGTGCACAAAGACGATAGATGGCCATTCTAGTTGCAGCAGAGGTTGTTCCGAAAATAGTTGCAGTTGCGGATGTTTTGTTTGATTTTGATGGAGTGTATCCTGCGTGCTTTCTGATCAACATTCCTGGAAAATTAAATGTGTCATTACATTCAGACTGGTGGGACTTTTTTTTGTTTCTGTAACTGTGTTCTCCGCCCCTTTGTGCTTCTGCCTGGCATCTTCAAGGAAGCATTTCTGTGGCTCTCCCTTGTCTGTTCCCCTCTTGCAACTTTATGAATTGGTTTGTGAATTTCCCCACGTTTGACCAAGGAAGGAAAGGCCTCAAAGGATAAAGTTTCTCTGAGCTTTGTGAGAATGTTTTTAGAGCCCACGCTGAAGGAAGGGCTCTTGGTGGGAGTTACCCCTCCCGCACGTGTGAAATTCAGAAGGGAGTGTGATGCGGGAGAGCCGGGCTGTTTTAGTTCTGCTGCTCATGTAACTGCTGGATATGAACAATTTACTATTGAGCAGCTGTGCTTTTTATTCCTCTTAAATCCAAGCCAGCAGCTTCTCCATATGCTAAGCAAAACTGCTGTGATTTCTACAGACTGTTCAATGTACTTCGTAGTTTGTCTTAAATGAGTTAATGCACGTATTTCCTGAATTTTGCAGCAGATACTTCTCGGGCGTTATTGGAAGCAGGTTGAAGCTGCTAAATTAGTTTCTGGGTTTGCAAACACATTTGTCAATTCAATCCAAAGGCCTTTTTGCTGTAGAAAAATTTGAGAGCTTCCTTATAATTTGTCAATTCAATCCAAAGGCCTTTTTGCTATAGAAAAATTTGAGAGCTTCCTTATAATTGTGTCATTCAAGTGATACATTCCTGGCCTGTTATGCTCCAGTAGGGACACACTTACTAGTGCATTATATTAGATGCTATTCCTGACACTAGAAAGAAATAACTACTTATTTGTGTGTTTTCGTGCTATGGCTTGTTCCCATATAGCTGTACTGTTTTTAAGTCATTCCAGTAATCAATAGATTTTTAGGACTGGTACCCTGGGAATAACACAGGCCACTGAGCTGGGGGCCTGGGCTCCTTGGAGTACTGCTTTGCTATTAAATGATTGGTGTTTTTTAGAGTGTGACAGCTTGAGGAAAGCCTTGCTGGAGAATTGGAGGCAAAGCAGTGGTGATTTTAACTCTGCTGTCTGGGTGAAACTCAGAAGAGGGATGCAGTTAAGCTTGCTGCTTAAACACATCTCTGCTAGCTGCTGTGTATTGGGACACATACTTCATTTGGAAAGGATGGTTACTGTAGCTGTCATGGATACAGCTTTATGGAACCTAGCTGCTGTGTATTGGGACACATACTTCATTTGGAAAGGATGCTTACTGTAGCTGTCATGGATACAGCTGTGTAAGAAACCCTAACACTTTCAGTCAATCAGAAAATGGTGATACATCTCCACTTTTCCTCCTCTTATCCCTTCCTCCTCTCTATTGGACCGAGTTCTTATTCAAACAAAGAGGTAAGTGTGTTTTTTCAGGTCTAGTCCAGCAGTTTTATGGTTCTGAAACTCTGCTGGTTTTGCTTCTCACCTTTCGTAGATGGGTTTTTGGGGTAGTAGTTGCTTATTCGGGTAATAAAATTTGTTTCAACCAGTTTAAATCAGTTGTTAGTGCATCTAATTACACTTTGTCTCTAGCTTCATGCTGATCAGCTAAGTGATTCTAATGGGGTGTTCTTCACTATTCTCTACCCAGGCATTTCAGAGGTTTTTGCAAACATGTGGCACCTTTTAATAGCCATAGCAGTTTTCTCCATTTTCAAATGATGTGAGTCCAAAGAATTAAGTAATGTTTCTGAAATAACACAGAAAACCTGTGGCAGAGAACAAATTAACTTTGCTTAGATGCCACTCTATATTGCAAAGTATTCCTTTTTCTGTATGTTCTTTACCATGACCGGATCTCTTTAGTTCACACTGGACCATTCTGTGCCGTTATTGATTTCTTACACCTTTTTCATGAGGAATTATATTGTCATGTATATAGATGTAAAGTCGCAGCCTTATTTCTAACCGACCGTCAACTCCACAGGGGTTGCAGTGGACTCTGCATTGCAGAGGGATATGAGCAAAGGTTTTTCCCCCTCCTTTTCTTATATATTTCCTCTCAGTCTAAGCTGAGTTTCGCTTTGAGTTTCAGGTTTGCTTTAACCTCAGGAACTCAAAGCATAACTAAGTGGAAACCACTGAGTTTCTTTTCAAATGTTACATGGCTCTGCTGTCAAACCCACGTTAGGGCTGTTTGTGGATTTGTTGGAGATGCATTATGAATGTCCGATTTGGAAAGGGAATATGCAAAAGGTGGGGGAGGAAGGCAGGGATGCTGGGGTCTCATTTGTGGAGATGGTTGTGTACCAGGAAGATATGGAAGGTGAGGTCTTTTTTGGGTAGTCAAAGAGTAGCAGTAAAATTGTTGGAAATATGGGTGCATACCAGAATGTCAACACTTTCTACTGAGGGCTGTTTCCCCATATTCTGTTGATGTCACTTTTTTTACATACTTATCTCAAATAGTTAAAATATATCAAGTGTAATTAAAGATAGGTGAGGCCAGTAGAACACCTCCAGACTATTTATTGGGCACCAAGCTGCTGCCTTTCATGGTGGGGTAGCCCAGCAAAAGAATAAGAATTAAAAAAAAAAAAAAAATCAGATCTTTGGTACTGAGTCAGCTTTGGAGAGGAGAGGTAGATCAGATGAATCCTTGTTTTCTCCACCTCTGTGGAATAATTGGAAAAGCTTCAATAAAGGAGCTTAGAGGATATTTTTTTGGTTATCCTGTCTTGGGAGGTGAAATAGAATCATAGAATCATCGTTCAGGTTGGAAAAGACCCTTGGGATCATCAAGTCCAACCATCAACCCCACTCTACAAAGTTCTCCCCTACACCATGTCCCCCAACACCACATCTAAATGACTCTTAAACACATCCAGGGATGGTGACTCAACCCCCTCCCTGGGCAGCATTTTCCAGGGTCTGACCACTCTTGCTGTGAAGAATTGTTCCCTAATGGCCAGTCTAGACCTATCCTGTTGCAGCTTGAAGCCATTCCCTCTTGTTCTAGGAATAGCTGGGTAGGTCACTTCACTGGCTTTGCAGCTTCATTTCCTCAGCCAGAAAAAGGAGATAATAATTTTTATTCTGATTAATAATGCTCCGAAAGCTTAGGGTCCCATCCACCCTGGCCCGAGCCTGCCTGGGACACCTTGGGGCTTCCCCAGGGCAGTGGGGCAGGGCAGAGGTGTGGGGCAGGCAGGCTTGGTGCTGCCTGGGCCGGGGTGGCCGGGGGCTGGCAGGAGGGGTGCAATGGGGCTGCAGGTTTGACTTTGGCTGGCACAGGGAGCTCGAGGAGACACCTTGCCTTCCCCTCCGGGGCACAGCCAAAGGAGGTGGTGGTGGTGGAGCACCTTCTCCCTGCCTGGGCTCTGTGTTTGTGCTGAGGAGTGGGGACATCCCTGGTGGGAGCCGTGCTGGAGTTCCCCCTTGCAAAATTTCTGACCTGGTTTTATTGGTGGCTTTTCAGAAACAAGTGGCATTAATCTGTAGGTGGAAGAAGCTGTCTTTTAAAGTCTGCAGCCTGAACGAGGCCTGCTGGCGAGATTGTCAGACCTGAAGGCTGGTCTCACACGCGTCCATTTACCTTCCTGAACTGGTAATGTCTCCTGGTCCTGGCATGAGCACACCTGGAGATACACTGTGTGGCCCTTATGTGAGGGCCTGCTCACAGGAGAAAGTATCTACACTCTTCCTTGCTGCTTCAGGGCTTGACTCCAACTAAATTAAAACCAACATTTAGATTCC